ACGAAACAATTCTCAGTTAATAGAGGCATCCGTCAAGGTGACCCGTTATCCCCATTCTTATTCTTGATTGTTGCAGAGGGATTGGATGGACTAGTGTCATCAGCAGTGGAGAAGGAACGGTATAAAGTTGTGCCAATTAGCAATGGAGATATTATGGTCACACACCTACAATTTGCAGATGATACCATATTTTTCGGGGAGGCATCAGAAGAGAATATTTGGGTGATTAAGTGCATTATGAGAATCTTCAAATTGGCTTTGGGGTTGAAAATAAATTTCAGAAAAAGTCAACTGATGGGAGTGGGAGTAGAACAAAACTGGAGCTATAAAATGGCTTACAGACTGTGTTGTAAAGAAGGAGAGTTCCCATTTAAATATTTGGGAATTCCAATTGGTGGGAGTCATAGAAGAGTAGCTATGTGGCAGCCACTGGTAGAATCTGTTAAAAGGAAGCTAGCTAGTTGGAATGGTAGACATCTATCTATGGGAGGTTGCATCACGCTCATCAATTTAGTGCTATCAAGTCTGCCCGTGTTCCTGATGTCAGTCTTTATAATCCCAAAAGGTAAAATCCATTTAGGGATGGCAATTTCCCCCGATCCCCGCAGGGCCCCGCGGGGCCTCGCGGGGATCCCCATCACGGGGACGAGGCGTGGAGGAATAGGTGGGGATGGGGAGTATTTTCCCCCGGCGAAATTTCGCGGGGAATTCTCCCCGCCCTGTGGGGTCCCGTGGGGATTCTCATCCCCGCAAAAATTTTAAAAAAAACATAAATTAATTTTATTTTAAATTTAATTCATCTTTCAAACTCAAACCCAAATCCAAACCCAAATTCAAGTTCAAACTCAATTCAATCAAAATTAAACTTAACCCAATTTTACCTAACCCAATTTTACCTAACCCAACCCAACCCAACCCAACCCAATCCATAAAAATTAACCCAATTCATTCCCCTACTTACATTTAACCTTAACCCTAATTCATTTTTCAATTTTCATTTTCACCTTCCCCTCCATTGTTGGTTTAATTTTTGCTTATATTTTAGTTTAGTTTGGATTAATCTTTGTTTATGTTTGGAACAAATTTGTTAATTGTTGGTTTAGTTATTTATGTTGAATAGATTTTTATTTATATTTGAACAATTTATATTTGAT